TGCTTCTGCTATCATAAAAATGAGGTGCCAGCTCAGAAGAAAAGATGACACTCCTTTGCTTCTCACCCTGTACAAAGCCAGCCCTGGCTCTACATATTATGATGCTCTTGTTAACACTTCCCTTTTGATTTCACGACCAAAGATCCTGCCACTTAACAAGAGTTTCCCTTCAGGGTTCCCAGCATCTGCTGAATGATTTAATATCAACACACACAGAAACCCCATAAGATAGGAAAGGGATGTGTGCAGATTACCTTGCTTTAAAAGGGCTATTTGATTGATGCTGGATGTTCAAATTACATTTCTGTTTGGCACAAAGATAACTGATGCCTTCAACAGGCCTGCCAAGAAACTGTTCATTTTCCTTTTTTTTTTCATAACTTGATGGATTCAAACTTTATTTTCTGGTTATTCATTTGTGGACTGCTTCCAAGCTTGGTCAAATCTCTATCAGTTGATTTTACTAGCCTTTGAATACAACTCAGATAAAGGGCTATATAATTCTCTATAATCCAGTGCACTGTTTGGAATGTACGTACGTACTCGGACACGATGGTGAGGTACACAGTAAAACCAGAACAGAATAGGTATCTTCCCTCCTGGAAATGAATAGCCAAGTTGCTTTAAAGAACAACAGAAGTTTCACTACAGTTTGCATTTACGCATCTAGCTCTCTCTCTCTCTGCTTTCTTAACCATGTGCTTGAGAGCTTTTAATGTCATCGGACTTAAGCAATGTATTTAAGTGCTTTCCTGAAACAGGATCTCTGGGGAAAGAGAAGTGATTAGTAGAAGACTACACAAAGGAAACTGAATTCATATTCAGGACTTCCTTGCTCCTAGTCCTGTCCAGAACCCACTAGACAATGCTGTCCTTCTTCTGTGGAAATAAAGGTAGTTTAGAGTACTGATGACTACAGCTTCATAGCACCAGACTTGGATCTCTCGAGCATATTTTAACAAACTACTTCCTGTCCTTGCAGTGGCAGGACACTGACGGTGTCCTCTTCCCCCTCTACCTGCGGCAAGTGAAAGGGCATTTCTGAGGTTTCAGCCATTATGCCTGGTAGCTGTGTGCGCGTGTTTGTTCCTTAAGTTGTCAAAAGCAGGTTAGACAAACACGTCTAATATAGTTTAGACAGGGAGGATCCTGCCTTGAACAGGGAGTGGGACAGATAACCTCCTGAGAGCCCTTCCAGCCCTACTTTTCTATGATTCTATGAAAAGAAGCTATGGGTATCAAAGAAATCCCCTTGAACTTATAGAGGCAGAATAAAAATCATCTGCCTCCTTTGTTAGTTTTATGGTGATAGCCCTTGTTATGGTAAAACACCAGACGTTTCCCTGATAAACAAACTCTAGGTACGTGGCAGGATCTTCTCAACAGAACACTGCAACAATCAGATTAACAGTACTGTGGGTTTTTTTTCCTCGATGATACAGTTTGAACCAGTTATCAAAAATGCTTGCTGTTGGAAAATACAATTATAATCACCGATGTCTGAATAAACTGTTCTATGCAAGTCCATAAAAAGTAGAGAGCCAGAGATTTAAAGAAGTAGGAGACTGTTTTTCGTAGGACAAGATGACAAATGCCCTTAAAAAAGAGTAATATCATCCTCATCATCTTGAAATCTGTTCCACTTTTTTCTTATGGGGGGTTTGTCACTTTCTGCCCATTTGTTACAGATGCAGAAGTCAAGTTCCTAGCTACTAAAATCTTCCAACTGGAAAAAGCTGGGTCTCTGCACCAGTTTCTCCCCAGTTGTGCCTTGGAACAAGTGAAGCCTTTTGGAGAGATTTCTTTAATAGCCAGTAATTTAGTTTGGCTGTCCCTGTCTCTACTGAAAAAGGGTCATTACTTCTTTAAAGCTGCATACGTTTAGGAGCCTGATCCAATGTCGTCTGCCCACCCAGAATTCCCATTGAGCTGGAGGGGAGGTAGGGGGCATGGGACACAAGTTCGAGCTCTTTAGAATTGACTTTACGACCACTGATCTTTACAAATGACATTCTAAAAAGGGTTAATTCCTGCAGGTACAATGAAAAGTAGCAAGATGTGACTTTAAAATGTGAACCTTGGTCACTGAGATAGCCATGTTCACATCTCTCTCATTTTATTTTATTTACTTATTTATTATTTTTCCCTTGTGTGTCTGTAAAAAAATTTGGCTCCCATTTCTTTCTCTCTCTTTTTTAATTGTTTGTTTATCCTCGGTAAAACTGAGGCAATCTCTGTAAAATATTTAACAGCATCATAGTGGAGAAGATGGTTTGACACATCCTCCGTTTAGATACAAGAGGCCAAGCCATTTGGGTTGCTCAGTGAAACTCTCGGATGGCTTGGAATCACTCCCAGCTGGACAAGCTGAACCTACCAGCAAAAACTCCCTGCCCTGACACCCTCTTTCCATGGCTGATTATAATAGCTAGGAATTATGCTTGAAAGTAAATATATTCTCCTCTTATTGCCATTAGTGGAATGTTTCTAATCCAAAGCTCTTTAACAAATTTGGCTTCCTGATCGAGCTGGGTTGAAAAAGTCTGTCATTTCAGTAGCTTATTTAGGGGGGGAAAAATAGTATTTCCGAATCAAAAAGTTGGTGGACTGTGTGTCCTTGTTCTTGAAGAATTGCTACAGCTGCGCGCTCTTGTATCACGATGACATTATTCGCTTCGTTTGAAAAGGCCCCCAATTAGCGGCTACCATCTTTTCCACTATGTCTGAAGTTTCTGTCGTTCTCAATAGAGAGCTCATAACACTTGATTACCTGCACATAACTCCTGGCTCATAAGAAATTATGAAACGTAACTTCTCTTTTCATTAAAAAAATAAAATATTCAAGACTATCAGCTTTTATATAAAATATCAGCAAGCCCAAAAAAAAAACAATTGCTGAGGTAACTTCATACCTTGAGGTAGCTTTTTTTTTTCTTTTCTTTTTTCTCTCTTTTCTTTTTTTTTTCCTTGTTGCTAAAACACACAGCAATACCTGACCTTTCCCCACATCATGTCGTTGTTGCAATGTTTAAAGGACAGTAACTGCTCGTGTGTTCCCTTATTAAAAATAAAACAAAAAAACAAACAAACAAAAAAAACAACAGCATGCGTTCTTGCAGCTGCATAATCCAAATTCAAAGACGGTTCTAACTATGTAGGATGTACACAGGTTTCCACTGAGGGAACCAAAGGCCTTGTCTCCACTAAAAAAGAGTAATCAGTGCAAGGATGGCTTCTGGCCCCTTGATCTCAGCCTAGAGGTCTGCAGATCACTGAGTTCTGATCTTTCTCCCCTTCCCTAGGTAAACTGGGCCAGGGTCAGATCTCAGTTATTCTGCAGTATAACATGGATTCTCCATTTTCCCTGCACCCCAGGAAGTCAGTGATGCCAGTACACAGTGGGCACATCTACATGTGCATTTACATCGCATTAAATTTACTATGCAGCAGAAACAGGCAGGTGTCTACACATGCAGGCGTTAAAACGCGTTAACGCTGTGTGTGGTCTGGCTTGGGACTAAAAGTTAGTCCCAAGTCAGCCCACACACACAGTGTTGCTGTGCAGTAAGGCATCTACACGTGTGTTACTGCGCAGTAACTAATTGGGCATCAAGCAGGTATCAAATTTATGCCCAAGTCGGTGTAAGTCACCATAGTTACCACACAACACAGGCACGCATGTGTAGATGCACATCTGTACTGCATAGTAATTTAGGTTACTGCGCAGTAAATGTGCACATGAAGACATGCCCAGCGAGTGTAAAATGGTGTTGAATCAGAGCGATCCTGTTTTACAGCTATCGTGCATCGATGAAAATGACCACAAGGTTTATGACAATGAATTTGCAGGCCCACTGTTCTTCACTGTGATTCATCTGCATTTCCATCTCTGCTTAGTAAAACCAGTGTAAATCTTGAGAGTTCAGCCACTGGCTTAATTGTTTCAGATTTACAACAGAGTAACGGAGAAGAAACTGGCCCTACCAAGGGTTTTTTGGGGCACAATACTGCTCTTCTTGAAGTCACTTGCATTGGACTTCTGTTGGCAGGATTGTGCCTACAGAGCACATATCCCAGCTGGCTCTGCATTAAATGAGGTGCTGAGGTGGACAGGGGACACAGCTATGTGTTGGGGGCTGCTTTCAGTTTATAATCCAACCAGAAGGATGTTTCAGGTGGAGACAAAGCCCTACCCTGTGTCTAAAATGCTATCACAGCAGTTACTGTCCCTTCCAAATACTCATATTTAAAAAAAAAATCATTAAAATATATTTAAAATATAAAAATCCATGTAAGAGTGACTGGAATCAGTAACCATATTACATTCTTTTGATGTATACATTTGGCATTGTCTCATGGCAACAGTTGTTCTTCACACAGTAAAGATTTTTTTAAATATGAAAATTTCATTTTGCTTTTTAAAAAAATTATGCCCAATTTTTGGAATCATTTTTCCTTTACTTTGAGAGAGACCAGATGGAAAGTAAAAGGTAAATCACCCCAGGAGACTGGATCTGAATCGGGATCATTGGTCCTAGAGAGCTGATAAAGCTTTTATGGGTGTTTTTATCTGTCCCTTTAGGCTGCAATTTTCCAACAGGTCTAAAGGAACCAGGTGCTCAAGTAGGTAGAGTCTGATCATGCCTAGCTCTTATTAACTGTAGATCTGCAAGCACTTACCAGAAGGAAACAGTATCACAGAGGAGGAATGTGAGGCCCTGGGGCATTTATCCCAGGGCATCTAGAAAGCTAAGTGACAGAGCTGGGAATAAACCCTATATCTCTGTGCCTTATTGTAGTCCTCAAATCAGCTAGACCACACTGTATTTTGCATGTGATCAGGTGATGCCAATTCCTCTCCTCATCCTAACGTCCATTTTTGGTCTGTCTTGAGGTTCAGAGTCCTGCCCATTATCAGGCACCTGACTCGCTTAGGTACCATTGACAATCCCAGCCTTAGTGCATTTTTTTTGGATCATCTGATTATCAAACAGATGAAGGTTAAATCCTACAAAGCTGATTTTTGTTGTTGTCATCATTTAAAATGGGGAGGAATCAAAACTATTTGCCTAAGCAAACTGTATTGGTTTGCATCATTACCTATGTGGGAGTCCCATATCTTCTCCTTTCTGCTACTGTAGAATCCAAAAACAAAGTGGACTACTTAAGTTGCCTTTACTCATGTTGGGATTTATCATCAATGGAATTAGAAACCACCCTGTCCATTGGAATTTCTACAAACTGACACTAATTTTTTTTTAAAGGTGACTTTTCTCTAGGAATTTTGATCAGCCAAATTTCTGTTTGTAATATGATGGCTAGAGAGTGCCCTGGGGCTCTTGGTGGATGACTACAACAGAAATGCAAGACTGGGGTGGATTTGTAGCTCTGAAAGCTACTTAAATGAGCACCTAGGCTGCAGATGCTACAGTGGGAGGAGCGTAAGCCTCAATAGCTCTGTGTTGGATTTGTCAAGAGCCTGGGCTCTCGGTCACTATATGCTGCTTTGCAGAATCCTCACACTGCAGCAGTTGCTTCTTTAAGTAGCCTTTGGGGCTTAGTGATTGTAATGGCTCAAATTTGGGTGCTTTATTTTAACATAGGCATCTACCTTGGAAGCCAATCAAACTGCCTTTGACTCTCAATCCGTTAATGGAAAAGTTGTCTACGGTAACTGATTCCCAGCCACTCTTAAGCCTGACTTCGGCTCGTTCCTCTTTCACGTGGTGGTGGTGTTATTGTTGCCGCTCTTATTTCCTTCGTGCTTGTGTCTGGCCGCTCTGTCCCTTCTGATGCTGCTGTTTTACCTGGGCCAGGATATCACGTATTTTCCGCTGCGCCATCTGAGGAAAGAACAGCAAAGGGTTGAGCTGCAGTAGGGAGGGAAGCCTGGCTGTTCAGGGCATGGGCCCAGGAGATAAAAAACTGGAGTGCCGCTGGCTCTGCCACTGACCCATTATATGACTGGACAAATCACTTCATCTCTCTGTGCCTCTGTGTCTCCTCCCATCCTTTGCCTATCTTGTCCATTTGAGTCTCTAAACTCCAAAGCAGAGACAGTTTCTCATTATGTGTTTATACAGTCCCAAATCCACAGTGCCTCATCTAGGCAGGGGCTCAGAGAGTTAAAGTAATACAAACAATAATCATCATAGTAAGAAGGAGATACAGTGGGAGAGCAGAAAACAAGAGAGGTGTTGGCTAGTTTGGGTCATCACCTACTTCAGTATGGACCAAGATTTGTAGGAGCCCAAGAAGGGGGCTCAGGAAACTTGAGCTCTGTTCCTCTCTCTGCCACTGACTCAGCATGTGACCAGGATTAAACCACTTGTACCCTGCTCCTCTTCTGCATTTGGTGCTGGGTGACTGTATTAGAGACGCTCATTCAGATCCAGGGAGGGAACATGCCTTTCCCTTCCATTGCCAGCTTGCATCATGTTCACATTGTTCTGATGGGGCCTTGATTCTCATTAAGGCCTCTGGACATTATCCCATGTTTTAATAATAATAAAACCAATAACAGTTGATGACCTCGGGCACTGCACAGGCTGCCTGATGTTAGTATATGGACTTCTGGAAAGACAGTAGAGTGTGTATATTCACATGCGGACACACAACTGCATGCAGTTCAGAGGACCATGCAAGTTTCAATCTACTTCCCGAGTTTTTTCTCTCTGCTTCACCCACTCCCAGCACATGCCCTACGTCAGGAAAGAGCCCGGCTCGCTGTACCTGGCTGGCATAGAAGTGTCCGATGATTTTTACTATGACTTGCTCATTCTCGTCAGGAGTTTGGTCCCGTGGCACCACCACCTCTGCTGCCGTCAGGTTCTGCAGTTCATTGACCTACAGAAAAGGAGCAGAGGTCAACCAGCTGTTGGTCCAGTAGAGATGATTCCTCACTTCAAGAAGGAACAAAAAACACCCTGCACCAGATTTTGCCATTCTCCCTTTGGCAAACAAATGCTCCCACCCAACCTCTGCTATGAATGAAGCTGAGCACTTTTAATGAAAGAGCTTTACCAAGACTGCCTTTAATGAAACATGCCTACATTACCATGACTGAGCTTCCACTTTCCACAGGATAGAAGCAGACTCACAATACAGTTATTGCAGAACAGCAGATATGCAGTAGGCTTCCCCCTCCCCTTTTAACTCAGCATACTTTGTTTTGGCCATTACAGCCACCTCCCTGAAGGTTTCACACCTGGGAATGAGCCACCTTCCCAAGGATTTTCCCAGTCTTTCCATGGTCTCAGACTTCTCTCCATCTTTGGTTCACTTACAGTTTTGCCTCCCTTGCCAATGACTCTCCCTGCAGCTGAGGCAGGGACCCTGATGTGCGTCTCCAGCTTCACCTCTTCTTTAGGTCCAAAAAAGTTTTCCTCCTTGAGTTTGCCATAAATTCGTCCTTGTGCCTGCGAAGTAGAAGAGGGGAAGAATGGTGTTAAACTTGGTTTGCAATCTGTAGTAGCACCATGCACCCACAGCTCTCACCATTCAAGATAGGGGCTTCTCCTCCTTACCCCTGGATGGAACTGGATTATCCAAACCTGCCACAGTAGAAAGTGGGAGATATGTTGCTGGGATATCATAGCCATATATGCAGCTCTCTAAGCCCGGGGTTCTCAAACAGGTAGCACAGAGATTTCAGGGGAACCTGACAAGTCTGCCCTTCCCATATTGCTAATATGAAGAGATGTCCACAAGACACAAAGAATACTAAGCTAGCTAGATACCACGGTGATCTGCACCCACATAAGTACCTCATGGAGGCAGAAGAGAGATCAATTATTCAAATATGAATGCCAACCCTAAATGAATGCCAACTCCTACTTTCTTCCCCCCTCCCCCCCTGGTTCTGTCACAACAATATAGGGGCACCTCACGAAAAAGGATCCTATTTAATACAAACATCTGCACATCAGCTTTGCTCAGCCAGCATGGACTAAAGCTATTTAGGACACCAGTCCGGCACACTGGGCTACCCAAAGCTCACAGTGTATGCAACTTTTGAAGTCTGGAGCCTAGCTAACCCTGACCCAGGCCATCCTAGAAAGAGAACAAGCAACACTGAGGTGCTGGTGAAGTGCTATGGGGATCCCAAAAGAGAGACAAGTGGTGAGACAAGTACCTCAGAAAGAGGCCCTGTATTGGGAGTGAGCAGGGCACGGGCTGAGTCCTAACTCTTTAGGAGACCTGGGATTGCTGGAGAGAGAAACAAGCTTATGGGGAAATGGACCTGGAAAACATTGGGTATAGATGATGACAACATGGATACTGATTTAACCCTTTGTCAGAGCTGTGTTCTTTCTGGCTTCCTCTTGTCCCGCTACCATCCATGGTGGTCAGATTATCCTGACCAACATGCATTAGCTTGTCAAAGACACTAATAACCGGTAATAGAAACTGCTGGACATCATCTTTCAGTTCTACAGGACTCTTCTCTGACAAACAAGGCAGGAAGGTGCAAAGCAATGATGGACCCTCACTATGGCTCCAGGGGTGAACTTGAGCCAGGCTCCAGACTCATGCCAAAAATGGTCAAAAGCTGACTGTTGTAAATGGGCACCTGGTCATTCAGCATGGGGGTCAAAGGCAGCTGCATATGTTACTAGTCACATCACTCCTCACGTGCCATCAGTTTGAAAAACTGGTGTGCCCTAACCACACTGGCCCACTATACTTAGATTGACTTTGTCTTTCCATAATAGTGAAAGGCACAAACATGAAGTGACTTGCTCACAGTCACGCAGTTGGTCAGTGGTAGATTTGGGAATAGAAACCTAGGAGAGGAGGGAATGTCTTAGGCCAAGTCCTGCAATCTCAGGCAACCACCAGTGCTGGATTATGACATGCTGAAGTCCTAAACTAGGTCCAGTTTAAGAGGCCCCAAAAATAAAAATAATCTACGAAATCCATGAAAATGGATTTTCATGACATTTTAAGATGAATTATTGTTATCTCTGCACAAATTTATGAATTCAATATGAATTATAACTGTGGAGCCATATATATGTCATATTAGAATGAAAATGTCCAGGGTTTTTTCCTTATTTAGAGGCCCCTCATATTATGAGGCCCTAAACTGCAGTTTAAGTAGCTTAAGCCTCAATCCAGCACTGGCAACCACTAACCCAAGGAGTCTCCAAAATCACCAGTTCAACCCCTCCCTCACAACTACAGTATCTAAAACACCAAGAACACCTAAACAGACACAGGTAAAAGTTGGGGGCACAAGGGCTCCCAACAGCGGAGTAGTTGGTTAATGCCTGCTGAGACGATTCTAGGAAAAGGATGCTGCCCCACACTACAGAGGAAGGCACCACCCCAGTCCATGCCAGTCAGACCAAGGGGAAAAATAGAAGTCAGGTCTGCTGACTCCCAGGCCTGTGCTCTAGCCAGTGGACCACCCTGCAGTATCCAAGAGAAGTCCAACTTGGGTGAACTGCATGGTTTGTGTCACTGGACCTGAGCTTTGCTGGCCTGGGGATTTTAGTCACTAGGGATCACAATATGTGATTTTTCCAGGAGTTTCTCATTGAGGTAAAAATCATGTTCACACAAGGGTTTTCTCCGCAGGGGCTAAAATGCCAGTCTGGACTTGAGAGACAGCAATAAAGATAGAACCTTGAACTGAGCTTCGGGTGGTCCAGTGATTATAACCATGCGCACTTTGGAGTCCGGTGTCTCAGGCGGGGCAATCTGAAAGGGAGAACAGAGACAATGTGAGCACGTGAGGAGGCATGTATCAGAGGCAGCTGACTCCTCACCTTCCCCACCACTTAGTAATGTCCTAGCCCTTTCACTGCACTGAAACAAAGGGGAGGGAAGCAAGGAGGCAGGGTGAGTCATCTGCGGAAACATCAGTGTCTGGCAGATGGAATCACTATAAGGTTTGCAAGAGGAGGGAAGGAGGGTTAAAACCTGAATGTCCTCTAACTGCAGAGGAGAATTATCCAAACAAAGATGATGGCCAGGACTTTTCAAAGGGGCCTCTGGGCAGTGTTGCCAGCACATGAAAGCAGAAATTCACCGTCTCAAAAGGCTGCTGGATGAAGGTCTTTGAAAGTTATCAAAAACACCACTGGGCAGTTGACCAAGCATCACACATACCAAACTGAGGCAGGATCCTCAATATAGACCTTTGGTCCCCAGGACCGCAACAAGTCTCTAGATCTAGTGACAGAACTGCTGAGCTGGCAATGCTGCATACCAGAGTTGGACAGAGAGCTGCCCTGGAAGCCAAGGGATGCTGGGTAGCCAACTGTGTAGACCGCACAACTGCTAGAAATCATACTTCCCCAGGGAAAACTGAGTAGACAAAGGGGATACTAAATAGTGACAAGCCCCCTTGTTTCTACTATTTTCCACCAGACAACAGTGACTAAAAGCCACTGCCATATAATGGCTTGGCCAAGGTGTCAGTGCAGTGACTTGGATGGATCTTAATATGCAGGTGTTCATATCAAAGAAACTACCACCACCACTAGGCTTCATTGGCTTTGTAATTAACAGCCCAAGCAAGAGCCTAACAATTGATGAGATATGGAGACCCGACTCTCCTAACCTGTCTACCAGTGCTGCTCTAAGGCAAGAGTGACACAATGGCAACAAGCATGGTGGGGAAGTCTATTGCTGCTGCCTCCTATGCTCTTCAGCCTCTGAGATGCTCAGCCTTGCTCCCTGTCCCACCAGCATTAATATGAAGGTCAAGAGGCCTGCTCAGTGATAAGGCACCCACCAAACAATGGAGTAAGTAGCACTTAAGTTGCTAATGGAAATATGGCCAGCTGCCTTGGAAAGGCTACCTTGATGGAGGCACTCGCAAATCTGGAGAGCTGCTTAATGTGCTGTCCTTTTTTGCCGATGATTGCACCAACAGCCTGAGCAGGGATGAAGACATGGACTGTCTCTTGTTCTGGAGGCTGCTGGCAGAAAGATTGGGATTACCAATAAGGTTCCATTAAAACGGATGGAGTTGAAGGACCTGACCTGATTTGCATCTGCCTTGCAGGCTGCTAGACAGACGGAGCATCCCCAGGATCCACTGAGCCTAAGACACACACTTACAGACACCTGGCACCAGGCATATGGTTAGGCAACAGAATTGAGAGAGAGTCTGATTTTGCACTGGACCATCTGATCTCCTGCAAGGGGCTGAGATCCTTTTGCAAAATGCGATCATAAATTTGTGGTGCATTCCAGAAAGTGCTCAGCACATGAGCTAAGGGAGTAATTCTGTCGGCTGGGAGTCAGAGCAGGCTCTGATGGTCAGTGCTGGTTGCTGCTAAAGGATGATACATTTACACACCCTCAGTAGTCTGCACTAAGAACAGCTGGACCCACACAAGACTCCCGAAAGTGCAGGAAGCCCAGGGCATCAGTCCTTCAGGTCCTCTTCTGGGGGGATCTGCATGGCTCAAGTTTGCTGCAGCAACAGCACCCCTTGTGTTACTAGGAAAACACGAGCCAAATTTGTGCATAGTTTCTAGACAAGGTGGGGATGAGGCACACCTCCTTCTAAAGGTGTCTCCAGGCCTGGCCCTGTGGCACTCAAGCTTTGGAGGAGTCCACATGCCACAACATGACTAAGGGACACAAAATATGGAATTCAGACAGGAACAGTCAAAAGTCAGGCCACCCAAAACTGAATCACCCAAACCCATTTCTAGGCAAAGTAAAATCAGGCCAGGATCACAAGACACGACTTGGTCAGCTATCGTAATCTATCTTTTTAGCCACCAGGCAGCAAGCCAGAGCAAGTCGATACCCCCCAGGCTATGGACTGCCATACTCCTTGGTGCACAACCCAACAGTAATCAGCCTGCCAAAGCACAGCTCTCTCCAAAGAAGAAGCTAAAATGATTCCAGCAACCAGGTCATCTGCCTACCATGAAGGAGCTGTATGGTGCTGCCCCAGAGACACTGCTGGGAGGAGGTGGCACTGCATTGGAGGAGGCAGGAAACAGGCCAACAGCAGCCAGGTTGAGGCCAGGGATCAGATGAGATTGTAGCTGTGAGGATAAGACAAGAGCAACATGCTCATTATTGCTCGCACTGCAGCATCAACTACAGAGACGTCCACTAAGATCAGAGCCTCCTCATGCTAGGTGCTGTCTGTGTAGGTTCCCTGCTCTAGGTGAATTGTGGTGGCAGCAGAAACTGAACCTGCAACCTCTGGACTCAAATGCTTGAGCCTCCATTGCTAAGGCTGCAGCAGGCTCATCAAACTGTCTTGCAGGCCTGCCACCAACTACTAGAGGAAGACAGAGCACTATGCTTAGCTATACTCTCTTTAAAAGAGAAGGAGTTAGCATAGCATAGTATAGGTGTGTAACTGTCTTTACTGATACTCTAGCAGTGGAACCAACAGCTGCAGGGAGCTGGGAGATCAGTCATCTTCATGGGCCATCAATGAAAAAGCTGCCCACTTGAAAGAAAAGAGATACAGTGACACACCAAGGCCACCCAGCCAACAGACCCCAGCACTGCTCAGGTCTACACACAGGCTTCTCTCATGTGGCGCCTGCTTCTCTCTTTGAGCTGGATCATACTCCACCTCTTAGGTGCCTAAATGGATGCAGGTACTTAAATGTGATCCTATTCTACCCTGCTTGAGTGCCTGAGAAAACATTAATGCACAAGTGGGTGGGGGCCCCTCCTGCTGACTGCTTTCTGTGCCTGAGTCTTATGGGAAAGACAATGGCATGTTATGAAAGCAGACACATTAACAGGTTTTTGAGGACTTGAGCAAGGTGGAATAGGATTGCACTTAGGTGCATACAGGTAGAACAGGATCTGGAATAGGATCTCCCACAGCAGGGGAGAGAGCCCCAGCCCTGGAGCTATAAGGGGCCATGGAAGGGCAGCCACACCTGACACAAAACACACTCACGCTCATGGCAGCCACATCATTCTCGTATGCCTCCCTCACTTTCTTCATGATCTCCTGCTCAGCTTTGCAGCAGTTTTCAATGGAGCCTTTCACGGTGATGGTCCGCTCAGGGTTGTACAGAGTCAAGTCCTGCAAGCTGGAAGGAAGCGGAGTGGTTACACAGAGGAAGCCTGCAGCCCACAGCCTCCAGCCCCGGTGCAGTTTCCATGTGGTGCTATGGAGATCTGGTGCAATGGTCAGGGCACTGTAAACCACATCACACAAAAGGAAGCGCTAAGACTGAGATTTTAAGAGAGCCTCTAGGAGTCAAAGGGCCTTGTTACACATTGCACTTTGAGCTGCTCAAATGTTGATCAATGGTAGTGCTAGCTGGAGTTTGAAGCAGTCACACCTTAAGGCTAAAAACCTTCTCTGATTGTCCCCCACCTGCACAGCTGTGACTTGCCACTAGAGGGTTGGCAAGCAGGGGCCTGACTAGGAGCTACAGCTGTGATTTGCCACTGCAGGGCTAGTAAGCCAGGACAGGTTTCTATCCCTGTCCTGCTGGGACACGAAGCTGGGAAGCAGAGAGTTAATGGAGTGGGAGCAAGTAATAAAATGGGAGATAGTAATGGAGTGGGAGCAAGTAATAAAATGGGATATAGAAAGGAAAGGGGGGTGGGGGAAGGGTGGCAATGAACTGAAGGAAGTCAGCCACTAAAGGATAAAATAAAAAGAAGTTTAAAAAAAAGAATTTAAAAAGAAATAAAGAGAAAGTAAATTAAGAAGGTCTCATGTTTTAATCATTTGGGATTGGGATGTGGAAGCTGCTGGTCATGCTTCCCAGGGTGGCTGGGAGTGGTGAAGGTACTCTTGGGGGAGCTACTGCCCCTGCTTCAGAAAGGAAGCCCCATGGGGATCCGATCTGCCCCCCAACTTTGTTACCCCCCCCATCCTCCCGCCCCTCCCAGACCCCAGTCCTGGACCTATCCATTTGCAACCTGGCTAGCTCTTATATGCTCTGAAGCCTGTTTGCATCATGTTACATCCCCTGGGGGTGTGAAGGCCATACCCCCATGGGTGGGAGAGGGAGAGGCTTGGTGCCAGAATCGCCCCCTGAGTGGTAGAGTTCAGGAGATGGAAAGTTTGTCCACACAGAACAGGAGTGTGGAGGAGAGGACACTGCACCCTGTGATGTTGGAGGACTGCAAACTGGACCGCTCATCTGTGAGCAGTGGCTACACATTAATGGAATGAGCTAGGTACCATGGAGCAGAGGTAAACTTGCCTGGAGTGGCATAAGCTTAAACTGCCTAAAGTGTGCTTAAAACTAATTTCAGGCATTGTGTGGACAATGCAATTAAGAGTTCCAGGAGCTGCCTAAAATTAATGTGTAACAAGGCCCAAAGTGCCCACTGAGTCAAACAGGTCCCCCTATCGGGGGGGAGGGGAGCAGGTTGCCTGATTCCCCATGCCTCCTTTGCAAGCCAACAGCCTAGAAGCTCTGCCTTGAACATTAGAGAGAAAGGAACCAGCGAGGGTAAGTGGGGGAGTCTTACGAGGAGATGGTGATTTTCGTCTCCGTGTCCTGTTCTACCTTCTTGAGGTTCCGCCCCTCTTTGCCGATCAGTCTTCCCACAAAGTTGTTATGGGCCAGGATTTTTAAAGGAACTTCATCAGCTCTTAAGGAGGAAGAAAAGGGGGGGAAAAAATTGAAAATCAGTATTCCTGATCCAACAGTGGGGAGGTGGGTACAGCAGGAGTGCGGCACTGCCAGATCCATTCCCCACTGACGAGAAGTCCTGAGATCCCCAACAGACTCCTTCTCCCACCTCAAGGTACATAATGGAGCTCACACATGGAAAACAACTGAGCTCCACCACTCCAGTTTGGTCTCCTACATGGACTGGTCTGTACAAAACCAAGAGCCTTGCATGTAGGAAGATGAGGTCTTCCCACGTTATTGCCTTTCCCCCTACCTCCTGCTGTCTTGCAGCCAGTGTAGCATGAGCTAATGAGTCAGTGCAGGAGCTCTATTGGGATGCCCAAAAGCAGTGCTTGTGCCCCCCAAGGCCAGCCCTTGCATATGGCCCTTTCAGAAGTGTTTCATTCAGCTCCCCAGTGAACTAAGTCACTGCCCCTGCAATACTCCAGTGCAGCAAGAGGAGATGCTCTGTGTTACAGTGAGGAAGCTGAAAGCCTTACGTTTTGGTGTCCTTTGCCTCCTTGTGCATAATCTCCAAGATCATCTTACAAGCTGCTGAGCAGCCCTCAGGGGTGGAATGGATGCTAATGGCTTTCTCCGCTGCACCTGCATTCTCCTTCCTGTGCACGTCGATTCTGCATGTGCACAAAAACCACCGTGAGACACACACATGGTGTATCCTGAACAAAGCAAATATCTGCTTGCGAGAGAGGCATCTTGCTCCCAAATTGGACACTTGCAACCCCTGGGGGCAGCTTGGATCTGACTTGAACATCCACATGCAGGGTTTACATGAAAACCAGCTGACTCAGTCCAAGTGTTTTGGAGCAGCTCAGAGCAAAATCTAAACCTCGAACTCTTAGGCACTGATATTATCTTGGAAAGAGTCATAACAAAAAGCCATGGCTTTAGATTAAGGCCAGGCACAGTCATATAAGAAAGAACATAGCTTCCTTTGAACAGCAAAGGTAATGAACTACTGGAACAACCTAGCAGTGAATTCTCCATCTCTTGACACCTTAAATCAAGACTGGGTGTTATTTGGTTTAATGAGGAGGGGGGTTAGTACGTGATATTCTTTGGGATGTCAGACAAGATGATCCTATAGCCTCTTCTGTTCTTCACATATACTAATCAGACTATTCTGATGACTAAGCAGGCTGTGATCCTATTACAGCCAATGCCTTAAAGGAGAACAGGAAAGGAAGCAAACTGGGGAAATTTCAGGTAACAAAGCCCACCTCTTTGGGTGTTGGCTGGCATGAAAGTGATGCCTTGTTGCTGTCTCCCTCTGGTTGGGAGAGAGTACATCAGATACAGTCTAGGAAGGCATGATGGAGAACTAGTGGCTCCAGGGTAAGCCTTGCAACTTAATTACATTCCAGTTCCCCCAACCCCAGGAGGCCCAGCCCCTTAAGTCCACGTGGATCTTGCTCTAAAATTCTGCCCTACCAGGGCGCTGCTTGCTACGTTGTCAATGAGACCCATCAAACTCCAGGGCAGGAAGGAAAGACAGGACTCACTTGGACTGTGTCTGTTTGGTGATGTTGCGAATCGTGGCTCCTTCCTTGCCAATAATGGCCCCCACATATTGTGTGGGTACCAAGAGTCGAAGGGGGATGTCCACTGGCTGCTGCTTTACAGGCGCTCCAGCAGCAACAGGCGAACCCTGCCTGGGAGCACCCCGGGTACCAAAGCCTCCCCGTCGCCCATTCTCTGGCCCTTGTATGGACTGTTCATCAGGGATGTAGGAGACCTTCAGTGCATGGTTTTCCAGCTGGTGTCCATTCAGCTTCATGATTGCTCTAAGGGGGAAAGAGAGCGAGAGAGTATCCTGGGTTGTGTCTCTTTACCCACTCTCATGGTCATTCATTTCCTCCTGAAGAAGGGACAGGAAACTGAAGATTGATGACTACAAGAGGAGTGGGAGGAGGGCACTGGGCTTTAATAGCTCATCTGTCATTGCTGACTCGATGGAGTGAAATCAAAGGCAAGTGAGAGACTGAAAATACAGTTCTTCCCTGGTGTAACTCCCCCACCCAGCCCCTTGAGGCTACACCAAGGCTGAAGGTGCAAGTCTTCTTCAGAAGAATGAGGTTCTTTCCAACAGGAGCAGTAGGAAAAAACCACTCTCAAATGAAATCTGATCAGTTCATGTAGGGGATTATATGATGTGTCTGGACTCGGTGACCCAAGAGGTCTCTTTCAGCCTAGTGGTTTCTTGCTTATTTTTAAAATAAATTTAACAGACTAGGCTTTTTTTTTCCTCTTCTTTTCTTTTCCTTTTTTTGGCAGCTGGCTGCATTTTCATAAAGCCACAGGTAGATGGGGCTATAGGAAAAAGCAAAATCAGTCTCTGCTATGAACATTTATCCAGCCCAGCTTCAAACCTCCAACTGTTTGGAAGTGTCTGGTGTCACCAAGACAAGCAACACTTTGCCCAGAACATCTTTGATGCCCCAGCAGTTGCAAAATACCAGCATCATGCCAATCTGTGTATTTCCTCCTAGGTGTTAAACATTTTAGCATGTGGACAGACATAACACTTACAACAGGTTTAAAACTTTACTAGAAAATGTTCAGAATCATGTTTTTTTACCTGGCTTTGCAGAGTTGTAAGATAATAAAGGGCTCTGTACACGGTAGCTACATGGGTACATAGTTGGTGTATGGTGACGCAATCTAAGACATTCAAATAGTTATGCAATCTGCATTAGCATGGGGTATAGAGGGTTAAGAGGTTCCAGTACAATGCTATGGTAGAAAGAGATGTAAATACACTTTAGAGTCACTGGACATTTATACACATATCTTTGTCTGCTCCAATGTGCTGGAAATCCAGTGCATCAGAGCAAACTCGATTAATCTAGAGACTGCTCTGCATATGAGCTGACACCCACTGTGCTGCATTGCATGCAGTTGTATAAGCAGTGAAATGCACATCAGCGCACAGAAAATGGTAGTGGTGCATTTTTTAACTAAAACACCTTTGATGTGTTTTAGTACAAAAGTGCGCCGCTGCCATTTTCTCAGTACTGACGCACGTTTTGCCATTTATACCAATGCACGTGCTGCAGCCGGGTGTTTTTAAAAATTCCCAACGCTGCAGCGCAAGCATGTGTACAAATGCCCCAAGCGTCTATATATGCCCACCATTTAAGACCAATTTAAACTTCTTGGGACATTTTAACAGCACACTGTGAAAATGAAGTACTATTTTGAGCCAGTCCTTTGTGAACTAGTTCAATGTTATATGTGGACACAGCGCATTCTGCACCTAGTGTCTGATGAATCCTCCAGGCATCCCAAACTGCACTGGTCCTCCCCTCCCTTCCCCCCCTCCAAACCCATGCAGGGCAATGGGGCAGCTGTGGGATGCAACCCTGCAGCCCAAAAACCCTCCTACTGGCCACGGAGACCACAGTCTGCAGGAGTTGGGGAAGCAGAACCCTAAGCAAGGCTCATCTGAGGTGGGGGGTGGGTGTGTAGCCTGGGGCTATGGGAACTGTGTGGCCCCTGCTTGTGGTAGGAGAGTGGTTGTGCTTGTAATAGTAAACACCGTCAATTGCTGGGTGGTGGTTTGCAGGGAACAGAACCATTGCACAATGGGCAATTAATAGCACAGAATGGCTGTTAATTATATGCTCAATGTGAAGTGAATAGAATTAGCCCATTAATAGTAAATATTATCTGCCCTCTTGCCACCAGCCCTGCCCTGCAGGTTCCACCCTGCACACACATCTCTATGCAATTGCTGGCAATGCAAGGGACTTGAGTAGCTTTCTAGGGAAAGTCTATTTAAACTATTTAAACTAAAGCTGTAGTGTTAGGCAGAGATTGTGGGAAGTCCTAAAGCAACCAACCTCAAGAAGCAGGGACCTCAAACTCCTCCTCCTCACACACACCTGGGCACCCTCTGTCTGGGTACCACGACACAGAGTGCGGTGGCATGCAAGCAAGTATAGGCATAGGCTATGCAGGTGAGGCATGTAAGGAAATTGAGGCATGGGCTGTGGCATGGGTGGAGAACAGTGGCTGACAGCCCAGAAGCAGGGAGCAAGAAACAGCTGGTGATCCCTCCAACCCCTCCCCACAAATTGGGGCTGGGACCCCATCACCCAGGGTTTGCAGCAGGGAGGTGACACTGGCAAGGTGGCTTTCCAGAGCAGGGGTTGGAAAAGCCAGGGAATTGGGCCACAAGCCTGGGGGCCACATAGCTCCCCCAACAATTGGCAACCTCTCCACTCCAACCCCTTGCCCCAATCTGGGTCTTCATCAACTGTGGCATCCTGGGGAAACTCCAGGCACTGACCCCTGGAAGGCAGGATGGTCCAGGTACATGCCCTTTGGTGGCATTTCAGCAACAATGCAATCCCTAAAATGCCAGGGTTCTTCTTAGATGCCCTAGCAATGCATGTGTGAACACTTCTGTCCAGGAACAATTGTGAACGGGCTCTCAAACAGTGATATTTTTGGAATGGTTCAAGTGTTATGTCTGTCTACACCCTTAGAGCAACTGAAGACTGGGAAGTGACTTATGGTCTGAATGTATCTTCACAGGGAGAAAATATTGGTATTAAAGGGCAGGATAAAAAGCATAGCTGGAATGAATGGATGGAAGTTGAAAGCCAGAGAAATTCTTATTGGAAACAAGGCACTAAGCATGAACAGACTTGTTCACCACCATAACAAATTCTAGAGGAAAGTGGTGACTTTCCATCTCTTGATGTCTTCAAATCGGGGCTGGAAGTTTTTCAGCAAGTTATGCTTTACCAGACAGAAGCTACAGAGGTCAATACAGGAGTAACCACGGCCAATTCTATGCCCTGGGTTAGACAGGAAGTCAGGCAGGAGGGTCCAAGTCTTAGATGTAACTGTTCTGAAAGGGGAAGGGGCATTTAATGGTCAGGACACTTCATCAGTTGTTCCAATTTAATTATAACATCTGTCCATTCCTGTACCGGTACAAGTAGAACTAAACTTTAAACTTGTTTCATTCATGTTTAGCTTACTTAATGCAGATGTACAAATGGACAGACATTATACTTACACAGGAATACGTTATACTGAGATAATTTAATACCAATATAACTGTTACGTCTGTCCACATCTTTAGATTTTGATTTTAAAAGCTATCACTGAAATCTTCCTGTTTCAAATTTGAAACTGTTTCAGCAGATTAGAAATTTATTCTACATTACGGTTTACTATAGCACCCATCTTCATGCAAAATGAAAATTAAATTTACTTATCAGTAAGATCCCATCAGTGCATATCGGCTATTAGTTTAGACTCAGAATCTACCTCAAACAAAAGTGATCACGTTGAATTTGCATCATAACTAGTTCCATCAGGTACAGACATTACATTTTTACTGGTATAAGTGATCAAAACCCAGTCTATACATGTAACAGAACAGAAGTTCGGCACACAAAACCAGTCTATAGCCATAACAGAACAGAAGTTCGGCACACAGACTGGTTTAAAAATAACAGAACCTGGTCCAAGAATTGCACCCCCCACCAAAGGGCAAATGTGTGTTCTATTCACTACCAATCTAAACTACACCACTTACAGAAAACTGCATAACTTAGACTGATTCTGCCTCAGGCTTTTAAAATGTCTATACCTACGCCCAGGTTAACTTCACTTACTGTCTGGTCTGCTCCCGGTTTGAATAGGTGACGTTGACAACTGCTGTCTCGCTGTCCGTATTCACTTTAGAGCAAAAAAATACAGGAATTAGTGGGAGTGTTGCAAAAAGGGCTTGTGTCTGCACTATGTGCAAAATACACTTGAGTCATAGGCTTAAGAACCAGACTGGAAGTACTGAAATTGGGAGCCCTTTCCCACAAACCAGGTAACTATGCCTAGTTCTTACGTAGTACTTTTCTTCCACCTCAAAATGCTTCACAAAAGGCACTGACGTACAGGCAATATCAGTACAAGTGTAACCCACATTAACATAATGCCAGGTCTCTGCTTCCCTCTAGCAGCTGATCCTTGTAACTAGGTGTAAGTCTGTTATTACTTCCCAGATACTGCACCTGGCCATTTAGCTCAAGTTGTAGTGGCTCATAATTTTAGCTCTTCAGCTCTTAGCTGCAAATACTGCCTATGACCCAACACAAGGAGCTGAGCAGATGAATTCCCTACTTGGGATTTGATCTGCTATGGGCTTTTGAAGCTTGGGATGAGCTTGCCCAAACAATATAGAGAGGTGGGGGAAGCATAATTCCATTATCCAGCTGACATATCAAGGCTTTCAGCTAGTAGGGAAACTGATGTCTTTGACCTATTTAATCCTTGAACTCTGTGCTGGGATTGCCAACAAGGCTTGTACTTTGACAGCCCATTTTATGACATGGGCATTGTCCTGCTAGGAACAGACACTCCCAACTTGTTTCAAAGGACATAAAGTGATTTTTAATCACTATCATCATGGTCCAGATTGGAACCAGGGACCAAAACTGAAAGGTAACCTAATCCAATCCTAGCCATCCCCCAACATGGCAGACTGGGGACTGTCTAAAACCTTTTCCAGGCCCTTCCTGAATCTTGTCATGTAGCCAAATAATGAACAGGAATATCCAGAGTTGTCATAGCATCTTGGAGGTGAGCTTGAGCCACACGCTTCAGGGTGCCAGCAGTTCTAACTTTAAAAAATAAATAACTTTACCATATACTTTTGCTTTCTTACCTTGTTCGCAATTTTCTACAGTACCATATTGGGCTAGCAAACCATCCAGAACCTAGAAAATGAAGGGGACGCTGCATTACATTGGATGCATATGAATAAGCCTGCACCACAAGACAAATGTTCAATCAAACCAGGTCTCTCTGCACCTCTTTCCCCTCTCACTCTTCATCTGTCTTGTCTGTTTAGAAAGCAAGCAAAGAGCATCTCCCATCCTGTACACGAGTGACAGAAGTATGGTGACATTTCAATCCCTGCAAGAGCCTAGTGTGATGCCATCACAGCAGTAATTTGGCTGGTCGAGTTTATTTTGCTGAAGGGAAACAGTGGGTGCATCTACATGTGAGGCTGCGTCACTGTAGCAACACGCTATGGCGACGTAGCATCAGCAGGCAAAAACTGTGACACTGCAGCTACATCACCGTAGCAATGCGCTTCCTTGGTATTGCATGTCGCTACGGTGATGTACTATCTAAAAATAACCATACACTGTGCACATGACGCAGCATGGACTTTTACTGCGCCGTACAAAAAGAAGTACTAAATGATAGTGCAGTAACAGCAGCACCATAGGGACATGTGTAGATGCACCCAGTGTAAATTATATTGCCATAAGCACTTCTACTGAATTTAAATTGGATTAGCAGAAGAGGCCAGATTCTATTCCACATTTTAGGTATCTATGTGCACTTGGCTGCCTAAGTATGATTTTATTCCACCCTGCTGAAGCTCCTGAGAATCCACTGATGCATCTGCCCCTAAAGTTGGAGTCACAAAAAAAGCAGCCTGAAGGAGGAGGACCCACCCACCTTTTGCATTACCTGTCTTTCAAACACTCAAGCAAGGTGGAATAGGATTGTGATTACGTGTCTACATCCACTTTACACACCTAACAGGTGGAATGAAATCTAGCCCTAGAAGAGTTTGCCAGTACAGTTGCACTGGGGCAGCTCTACCAACAACTTGTTTCTTGTACAGACTTGGCTTAAAGCCTGTTTG